TCACGAGTATGAATACTTGTGAAAATGCCCAGTATTAACACTGGTGTATCCCTACTTAAAAATATAATGCATTGCTGGGACTTGTAGTCCTACATAGTTGGAGCTATTCTGCATTGCTGTATAATGATTATACAGCAATGCAGAATACCACCAACTATGCAGGACTACAAGTCCCAGCAATACATTACAATACATTATAATAAAAGTAAGGTATGCAGAATACCACCAGCATCCCCCCCCCCACTATAATGCATTGCTGGGACTTGTAGTCCTACATAGTTGGTGCTATTCTGCATTGCTGTATAATCATCATACAGCAATGCAGATTGCCACCAACTGTGCTGGACTACAAGTCCCAGCAACACACACACTCTCTCTCTCTCTCTCTCTCTCTCTTCCCAGCACCCGCTCCCATTCCAAACTTACCTTACCTCTCCTGCAGGCCCATGGCCCTCTTCCTCGTCTCGCCGGCCAGGGGGCGGAGCTAAGAGGAGACGGACATCTTAGCTCCGCCCCTAAGAGGCGGGGCCAGCAAATTCTCCGAGATTGACAGCCTCCAGCCCTTTTGCACAGCTGCCCGTACATGCTGCGGGTGGCTGTGCGACAGGGAAGGAGCGGAACGATCGCGGGGGGCCCTCTACTTCCTTGATGGGCCCCCCCCCAAGTGGCGGAACGCCAGGGCCCGGTCGCAATTGCGACCGCTGCGACCCTGGTAGTTCAGCCAGTGGCTATTTGTGCCTTAATGTTTCAATGGCAGTCATGCCCCATTACAGGTATGGGAATAGCAGAGTAGGGAGAAAGACAGAATTTTTAACTCTAAAAATCTAAAAACAAAAAACTATTTTACTGGAGTCAGATTTTAACATACTAAGTGCACAGTACATGACTTCCCGGCCTTTAGACCCACTAGTAGGAGTGAAGTAATTTGGCAAAATTGATTTAGCTGGAAAATGACCGCTTAATTTAAGTTTCATTGGCGAAGTTTAGATGAAAATCTTTTTTTTTGTCTTCATTCAGAGGGTCTATTTCAACATTTTATGTATTACTATTTATTGTTTACCGTTTTATGGTATATTTAGGAAAGATTTTTTTTCATTTAGTATTCTTTCTATTTCCACTTTGTCCTTTTTTGTTATTTGATAGTTATTTGTGTACTGTGTACTATTTGTGACTTTACATTTTTTATTTTACTTTTTTGTTCTCTGTCTGATGCTGAGCAGGGGCCATTTTTACCACATGAACAGGTGCAGGATAGATTATAGGAGTTTCTGTGTCCCCAAGGAGCCAATTAAAGCTCATCACACCTTTAACAAACACCAAGGGGTTGATTTACTAACCTTATAAACACGCCACGAACAAGTATACACCTCTGTAGTGTGTTCCCTCCCAGCATGATCTATTGGTGGAATCTAGACATCTTTGTAGTGTGTACACACCCAGCAGGTGTGTTGTGCAAAGCCCTGCATGAATTGCAAGGTGATGTTGTGTAAATTAGCTCTACATTGTGTTGCTTGCGTTGATGAATGCAGGAATGTAAATGCATGAGCTAACCATTTTTGTCTAAACTGTGAAGCAGCATTATATATGCATCATGTGCATGATTTTTCCATATATGGCATTAGTGGAAATATGCTTTTAGAGACTTTTTGGTTGATAAATACGTTTTGCTGTGTAAAAATCACACGCACCTAGTGCGTGCATGTGTTTAGGTTAGTAAATCACCCCCCAAATATCACTTTAATTTCTCCTTCGCCATTAACTCCAATGTATTTCACAAGAATGTTCTAAATAACTTCACAGTAATGATAATACTCAACTTCACTCATCACTGTCCGCTAGCCAGCAAGAGTATCTGTCAAATATGTTTCTAATGCATACATCTAAGCTTGTATTTAACATTGATAATGACAAAGAATGTATCTTCACAGGTCCTCAGCAAGAAACTCTGGGTTCAGCAATTATGTGGGTTGTATGCAGGCGAGATCAAATTGTAAATCAGATGACGGACGCTTGTCTCAATCAGTGCCTGGACGCTCTTATTTCGCACATGATCATCATAAAGGAGGACTATGAGCTGGTCAGATCAGAGCGCACAAGGAGTGCAAAAGTTCGAAGGCTTATCGACACATGTGAAATGCAAGGAGAACTATTTGCCAAGATTATTGTGCAGAAGTTGAAGGATAACCGACAAAATGACCTTAAGCCTTTCCCAGAGTTTGTGCAGGATGGTTAGGAATCTGCTCCATTTTGCTACAGCACATTAAATGTGGACTATATCTAATTCAGCATAAGGTGTTGGGCTCTAAAGGGGCTAGGGGTTTTCTTTTCCAAATGCCCAAGAGAACATTCTGTCACAAAAACTGCTAACAAACTGCTGATTACACAGCAGTGACTGTTACTCTACAACACTTGGAGGCTGATTTATATCAGTTCTGTTCATGCGGCACCAGCACCACTAGATGGCACTGAGGAGCATAGGATTTTCTGTGCGAATGGCTTCTACCCATCATAGGAATTTTCTGTGCGAATGGCATCCACCCAGCATAGGCATTTTCCAGATGAACGGCATCAACCCAGCATAAGTATTTTCCATGTGAACCGCAGGCATCCACCCAGCACTAGCACCCCTAGATGGCGCTGAGAAGTATAGGGTGGAACATGTATAAATCAGCCCCTTGGTGAGTCAGAGGTAGTGTGTAAAAGGAAGTAACCTTTCCTCTTTTTTTGGAGCTGCATATACATTTTTTTTAACTATAGGCCCCATGTATAAAGCAGCAGTATGAACCTGAACTCAAAAATTTGCAATGTTATAGGGCACATGTAGAAATGTTATTTATGCCTAAGCAGTGAAAGATTTACCTTTGCCTTTAATTCCCCCCCAAAAATAGCAGTGCACTTCCTTTCCCCTCAATGGGGGAGAATTTATCAAAACTGGAGCAGCCCATGGCAAGCAATCAGCTTCTGTCTTTAATTTTTAAAGCTCAACTGAACATACTCATGGGAGAAGCTGATTGGTAACTGTGGGCAACTGCTCCAGATTCTGCCTGCTCCAGTTTTGATAAATTCCCCTCAATTAATTTTGGTGCAGCACATTTGCAAAAAAAAAAAAGGTTCAGGGACTTGTTTGGTTCAATTGTCGCACATAGAGCAGTCCATTAATAGGCTGCCCTATACGCGACGCACAAAAACGCACATACACACACCGGCTGTCGCATCCACACAAGTGTGAGCAGGGACTTAATGTTTGGTTTGGACCGGTATTTGTACATTTGTATTTCTAACTTAAACATGCTTCAAAGATCTATATAAGTACTGTACAGTATTTGGTTTTCTTTTTAGGGGCTTCTAGAATTATAGAATGTTATTTCATGTGTCTTTTTATGTTATACAATAAACATGAAATTAACAGAACCGGTTGGTTTTTTTTTTGTGTATAGCTTTCATCTTTGTTTATTAATTTATTTATTTGATACATTTTCTACACATAAGGTTATTGTTATACAATCATGTGAAAAAGTCATGGAAAAATGGAAATTGTTGAGTTTTCGCCATATATAAACAGGCGGTATTAAACATTTAACCTACCTCCACAAATGAACTTTTGCAACTTAATCTACCCCCTAACACTTAGAATTAAACTAAGCAAAGAAATGAAACCTTAAAGCCAAACTCGGGAAAACTGATAATTTGCACCCTGCACTGGGAGTGGAAATTATCATTAAATAGCTGTACGTGTGGCGGGCCGCTACAAATTATAGAAATCTTACCGTGCAGCATTCTGTTTCCCCATAACACCAGGCTTCCAGGCACTGAGGAGAGTAGGAGATTTGATTTGAGCAGTGAAGTGTTTTGGTTGGTTGTGATGGGAGGAGAGATCATGTCACATCCTCACCCCCGCCTCTCCTCCACCAATCACAGAATGTCTTGTATTCTTTGAAAAAATACAAGTGTTTTGAATGGGCAATAGTGGGGAGGGACGGGTGGTGCGGCGGGAGTACTTCAGTGCTCGAGTCAAATCCCTCACTCCCCTTAGTGCCTGGAAGCTCAGTGTTATGTGCAGGATCCGGCGTGCTGCTAGGTAAAATTTGTATGCTTTGCAGCAGCCCTCCACACATAACACACAGTTTTTAATGATAATTTACACAACTAGTGTGAATCCTCAGAGAGGTGTCAGTCAATATTATATAAAATTTTGGTTTTAGTAAAACTAGAGAATACAATGGGATGCTTCTTAGAAAGTGTGCAGGTTCTGAAAAAGTCTCTGCAAAAGGACTCTAGCCAGGAAATGGTAAGTATTAGGTCACCTAATCTCTGCTGAACACCAACTGGATTATTCACTAAAGGGTGAAGAGTTTGGAGAAGGCAGGAGAAGAGAACAATCTAGGACAACATAGCTGAGCTGGAAAGCGACCTGAATTGGAGAATTTTTCCAAATCAGCTATTTTGGCCTAGATTGTTCACTTCTCCTGCCTTCTCCAAACTCCTCACCCTTTTGTAAATAACCCTGACAATATTTACTCTGATCGTCCCATGCCATAGAGATCACATGACCCAATACCTGGGCTACTGTTTCAAGAAGCATTAGAGGAAACTCGGATCAGCAAAACTCTAGATAAAACTCTGGGAAAGGTATTTCTTCCTCTCATGTATCCTGTAATTATCAATCTCGTTGTTTATAAAAAAAAAAAATATATGCATATTAAAATCCAAGTATAGATCACTTTTTAAAAACAGCCACAAAACACTTTTTTCGGGAAGGCACAAAACATACACATCATCTTTTCTCCGTTATCCAATTTTCCCTGATGTTTCCCATTGCTTCACTGTTATCTATGGCTATAACATCCCTGCATTTTTGTATCCAAGGTTCTAATTATTAGTTTATTATGTATGTTGTATAGTTGTCATCACCCAAGCAGTTCATGCTCTATAAATCAAGGCGTGTATTGTTGTTGTGTCTTAATAGACATTTATATTTGGGATAGCGTGTCTGATAGATATACGTCGGTAGGCATAGACTTTCTCTAGCTAGTAACTATTTCAGCAGATGTCCTAAGAATAGGAGGCCAGTCTCTTTCTCTTGTGTTGTTGTGTTTAGTTTACAGTACATGCAAGGAGACTAAAATAAACCAGGGGACTGGTGGCTTCTTGACAAGAAGGTGTTGGCGTATCATTTATCAGGCAGACCCTCAGCTGTTTTCTTTACACATCCACTGTTACTTGAATGCTGGTTAAACAAACTTTCCCTCCTCTCCAATGGAAGTTTTCACTGACTTATAAAGGAAGAAAAGATTTCTGAATAAGTAACAACAAAGGTAGGTTCTCACTTCTATCTCGCATCTACTAGGTTTGGATTTATATTTATTGAAGTTGATTTACTAAAGGCGAATAGAGTGTTCAATCTACAAGGGAATTTTCCCTTAGTAAATGAGGTGACGCTTTGCTGACTTCCATCATCCAATAATTGTGCAAGCCAAAATACAGTTTTTGTATTTTCTTTGCACATAACTGGGTATTTTTTTTTCCAAGGTGTATTTTCACCTATATCTCTCTGCCTATCTACCTATGTGATCTATGTAATCTAGTCAAATGTATCTTTCAGTCTTATCTATCTATCTATCTATCTATCTATCTATCTATCTATCTATCTATCTATCCTGTTTAGTCTGTGTTTACTTACGCAGACAGTTGCCACTCACCTCTCTCCCCTCCTCTACAGCTTGTGGACGGTCCCTCAGCATCCTCACATATAATGCAGGGCTTTGTACCCTGCATTGTATGTAATGACATCAGCGGGCCTCTGACCACTGGAGTGAGGGGGGGGGGGCTGCAGGTGCTCGTCTTGGAGCTTGTGAGAGCAGGAATCAGGCAAGTAAAAGTCATTTACACAATTCCCCTAGGCCTAAATGAGCAGTTAACCCCTGTAGTGTGAGGGTCATCCCAGTGCAAGGGTAATTTTCTTTTTTTTAGCCTGGACATAGGCTTTAATCTCACTTATTCTTGCGTTAAATAAAATACCAGATTGATTCCATTACATAACAAATCAGCACAGGTGTCAGTACTGTAAATGTACTGTACAGAAAAGTGGGCCATAGTGTCTGGGTCCCTAGTTTTGATGCTAAGAGCTGTAAGATTTTAGAGTTGGATTGGTATTTTTCATGATCAAAAGTTTTGGTGCCTGAGAAGTCAAATGTGTTTTTTCGGGGGTTAATTAATCATAGGCATTAGCTTAGTGCTTAGATCCAAGGTTAGTGTCAGGATCACAAATTAGGGGGTTTATAGTGTCAAAAAAAGCTCACCAACACACACTTGGAACATACACTGTCTATATGGTAGGGCTGATTTTTTATTCTCAAAGTGGCACTTTATATACTACTTTTTTAGGCTGTGTGGCTTTAAAAGACTAACATCCTTGTTTTAATTATATAGTTTATTCCTTGCAGGATATACAAAGTGTTGTACTGTCTCTGACATTGAGCACAGACTGCATAATGTAGACTCCTAGGCAGTGAAAAGTCTGTACCCCTTTAATATTTGTTTCATATGTTTATCTGTCTCTAGTGATCACAGTGCAGCTTATCGGGAAAGAGAAGCAGAACAGCTTGTGTCAGTAAAGCAAGACAGAATCACTTGTGTCGCTTCGGATATATTTTTATCCATACAGTATTAAACATAATTCCTTTCTTCCCTGATTGTTAAAAGTGATGCGTGTTTTCTTAAATGAAATAAGTAAACTCTAATTGATCGGGATCCTAAAAATAAATGATATGGTGCCAGCAATTTGAAATCAGCAAACTATTTATTGATTATACTGTACATAATCCAATTAGACAAGTAAAATCTAAAATACATATTTTGGAAAAAGAGCATCCTGTATAGTCTCCTGCTGGAAATAAAGACCTGAAATCCTGAAGACCTGTTTACAGTTGGAGGTGAGTGAGGGATGGTTGATCAAGCACGTGAAGCAACATCAGAGTTACATGCCAAGTACCAGTCATATCTGCAGTATCACATTGCAACTAATGCAGCCATACTTCTTTCCAGGAAGAGTAGAAAAAATAGAATGAGATAGATGATTGATAGATAGATAGATAGATAGATAGATAGATAGATAGATAGATAGATTTAAAGAATAAGGTTGATGAGTCTAGGTCCCCTTTACTAAATAAAGAAATATCAAATCTGTGCTTATGGGTGGTCGTAGAGAACTAAACTAAAGTGTTACAGCTGCTGCA